CTCGCACCAATAATCCGAAGAACCAGTCAGTATAACTTGCAAAGCTGGCAGATATACAGCAGCGACAAGTAAAGTCACTGTCATACTGAAGATCGGGAGCTCCTTGTCACCGCTGAGACAGCCAAGCTGTTTATTATTCGCTCATTTGTTCCGATGGATTTGGTACTGGCATTTGTCAGGGAAACAAAATCATCACAGCCTGCTTCAATACAACCTATGAAATATGCCGGACGGGGGAGGGGGGAAGGTATTGGCGGCTTTGTTAGCGTTTGGTTACCGTTAGCTCGTGCCATTGCTCGAATTACTTCCAATTATTCCCGACTCATACAGAAAGTAAATACGAAGGTTTTTTTGAAAAAAACAAAAAAATAAAAAAAAAAACATTCTTCATTAACCGCCTTGAATTTATATTCCAAGGTGTACGAAATACATAAACGTTCGAAAAGTCTACTCAAAATGCATTCATGATTGCATAGGACATGAGCAGTCATAAATTTTTGTGATGTTCAAATACTTCAATTAACGTTGATGTCTTGGGGTGGAACGCGTTCCTTTTTACTGTAGTTAACATAGGAATACTTAGCCTCTTAAACTTCTAAGAGGAACAATTTTTAACTCTAAAATGACAATTTATTTAAAGTGCAAATTTGTTGATCAAAAGTCAGAAAGCCCTTCGTTTTCGCTCATCATGAGATGAGGAGGTACTCGAAATTAGATTTTAGTGTCACCGCGTCTAATTTCAGGCAAAACTGCTGAAAACAAACTCTCGCTGATAAGTCTATCAGTGGCCTCCTCTTCTGGCATTGCTGAGAAAGAACTGATAACGGATATGGCTGATTACTAATTGCGCCAGTACTAATCAACCGTCGAAACTAATGAAAGAATCATAAAGGTACCGACTACCCCACCGGCTGAAACAATTCTTTAGCGTGGGTGCAGAACTCACTCTTGTAAAAAACACGAACGTCAAAATTACAGGAGATAGAAAGAGATGGAAAAGCAGTAATTAGTTACAAAGTAGAATAGAGAGATTGGTTAGCTTATTATCGAAGTCGAATCCGGGACCTTTGCGCGTCTGTAAAATGTTAGTAAAAACTGAATATTGCCAATTTTAAAATGTGCTACTTTGAAGGAATTTAAATTAAGACATTTTCGGCCTTCGTCCAACTTAATGAATTTTGAAAGAGTGTACTCCCGTCGATGTTCGGAAAACTCTTCCAACTATGTTTTAGATCTCTGATCTCTGTCTACCATAACATAGCTAATATTAGTGGTAATGGAAAAACAATGCATGAGGAAGGGAGGGATAGAGAGGCGGAGGGAGATTTTGTTGGAGTAATGGAGCGTGTCGAGAGCGAGTTTCTTGCAGCTTATGAATTTTATGTTTTTTTGCTGTGCAGCGCTATAGCACTGTTGCAATGAGCGAAACGCGTATTGCGGAAAGGCACGCGACGTGCGTGTGAACTTTGTTACCCACTTCCAGCCCAGCAACCAGGAAAGCTTGGAGGCTGAAATTCAGCGAGCCTATTACTAGCACACATGTCATTCTTACAACCTATAAGGATATTCTGTAAATTTGCAAGAATTTTTTGTATTTGTGTGTGATATAAGTGCAACTTGAAGGCTAAGTCTCTTGCGCGAGGACAAAAGAAATACTCAATTTTATCGCAGACCCAAACAGGGTTGCTTTTTACCGATTTCTTGGTCTCTCTATTCCGACATTCTGTGCATTTTCAAATTTGCATTTTAGTACCAGCAGTTCTGATGCGTTCCAGTCTGGGATTCATGGATGAACGCTGCATCAATTCTTCAACGGCATTAAGCTGCCAGTCACTAGCAGTTTCTAAACTATCAGCAGATAGGCATTTCACTATATAAATGCGTTCATGAATGCTTATGCACAGTATAAGTGCGTCTGTTCGTATGTGTGTGCTGTACGAGTTTGTATGTATGTGTGTG